CAAAACCGTAAGTCGAGGACCTTCCTGTGCAATTCTTGGGATTCGCCACCCGGGCCATCCCGTTAGCAGGGATGAAATAATCCAAAGGCCTCGGCTTGCTCACGCTTCTTGGAAATCGGCGTGCGCAAATCTGGGTTTAAGCACCCAAATCCCATCACAGCGGACAACAAACCAGCCTTAAGCCACAGGCAGTAAATAGATTAAGATCCCACATCCGAAACCGGACAAAAAGGCGGGGGGGAAAAAACCTTCTTCAAATAAGAAAAATTCCCACAAACTTCTCACTACCAGCCTCCCAGTGACAACTCCACCCATTTGGCTTCGTTTTCATCCCTTTAGGGGGATTTCCTCCTCCAAAGCAAGTCATTTCAGAAAATTCTGGTGCTCCGCAGAGAAATGTCACCCCCAAAACAATTAATCCAGGCTGCACAGGAACACAAGGATGCACCATCCACATGGCCTGTGGGAACACAAAGTTTGGGTCGCTAGCATTGCAAACAACACGAGGTAGTGACGGGAGGGGGTGAAAGGTCGGAGGGGGAGAACTTGCCCCTTTAACTCTATTCGCCTGGCCCGGCCACCAGGCTGCTTCTTTCCGCTTCTTTCTTCTTCTGCTTTTAGCTGCACGCAAGGAAAGTAGCAAAAGTCTTTCTTTCTCTCCCCCCAAACTCTGCCAGAAATGAGTCTTTGGGATCCTGCAAGGCCTCTTGCTCCAAGAGGCTGAGCCTGCACGACAAATCTCACACAGACTCATTTCTGGCAGAGTTAAGGGGAGAGAAAAAAAGACTTCAGCGGCTTCTGCTGCTTTCCTTGCATGAAGCCAAAAGTCTCTCTCTCTCCCCCTGAGAACGGAGCTAGAGACGGTATCCCGGAAGCAAAATTCGGCCGCTCAGCAACTGCCTCGTATTTATGACAGTTAGAGTGTCCCGGGGTCGCATAAGATCTCCCTTGTGACCTTCGAACAAGCCAAGCCAACGGGGAAGCCGGATTCACTTAACACGTGACTAACTTAACAACTGGTAGTCCTTGCTTTAGGACCAAAATTGAGCGCACTGAAAAAAATGTGACTTACAACCATTTTTTTCGCACTTACGGCCATTACAGCACCCCTAGGGTCTCGTAAGCAAAATTCAGGCGCTCGACAACTGACTCATATTTATGATAGTCGCAGTGTCCCGGGGTCGCATGATCTGCTTTTGCGACCTTCTGACGGGCCAACTCAACAGGGAAGCCAGCTTCACTTAACAACGATGTGACTAAATTCGCTTATGAAAGGTTGTAAGATTGGGTCATCAGGTGAGGCTCTCGACTTACGGCAAAACTATCGTAAAATTCCGGTTTCTGTTTACCATCGTAAGACAAGGTTTATCTTTCCAGCATTTGGTTGTTTTTATCCATTTTCATAATTTTAGGGATTTTTTTACCTTACAGTTTTAATGGCTTTTAATGCAGCAATTCCATTTAGTCATTCAATAAAATAAACAGGAAAATCTGGAGACCTGGATGACAACAGATAAGCCTTCTCCACACAAATTCCTTTCAGGTTTGACCTCCATTTTAATTTTGTTTTTTTTTTCCTTTTGTACATTTAAAAAATAATTTTTGTTAACATTTGAAGACGTTGGTTTGAGGGTTTTCCTTTTTCTTTCCTTTTTTTTTTCTTTTTCATTTTGCATTTTAACTTTGGGAATAAAATAAACATGTGTAAAACATCAAAGGAATTCCTCAACTCCCATGTCCCCAAACACTCTCACGTTTGCAGAGAAGATAAAAATAGATATTCTTATATAGGCACAGTCCTCACACACCATTCCCCATTTTACACAGAAGAGCATGCTGACTTACAGGTCCTCAGGAAACATCTCCACATCCGCCTCCATAGGAGAGTCAGGGCCAACACCTGCACGACAGAAAAAGGTGATTACAGGCAGCCCTCGACTTACGATTTCTTTAGTGACCGTCCAAAGTTACAAAGCGACTTAGGACTGGTTATTTTTCCCCACCACTTCCCACCATTGAAGCATTGCCTCCACAGTCACTGTTCGGATCCTTGGGCAACCGGCTTGTATTTACGACGGTCGCAGTGTCATGTGATCACCACCCACAGTAGTTCAATTGGTTCATCCAATAAAAAGTTGCATAAAACATCATGTGGCATCTCCAAGTGGTGATGAGGCCTGTCTGTTGACCTTGACATATTTTAATAAAGAGTTGCAGCTACGCATAGGATAGAAGCCTAAGCAAGAAACTCCCCCCCAAAAAACTCATACAGTTCTGTTTTGAAAAAACCCCCACCCCGCCCCCAAACCGCCCCCCCCCCCCCCCCCCCCCCCCCCCGTTACTTATGACAGCCGAAAGATGCAAAGCAAAGGAAGAAAATCTTGAAGGCTGACATTCGGCCCCCCTGCAAGAGAGGCGGTTGTCTTAAAAATGAGAAAGAATAGAAGATAAAAGAATAATATACATGTAACACCACAATACTATATTTTAGGGGTTTATCAGGATATTTAGTACGAAACGCCTTGATAAGCTTAGGAGCTCAAACATCCTTTTCATTCACCCATTCGGAATAGGAAGGAGGAAAATGTTTCCAGGCAACTAAATATTGGAGTCGACCTCTTTGTTTCCTAGAATCTAAGATCTCTTTAACTTCAAAATGTTGCTCACCTTCAATTAGCAAAGGCGGGGCGGGGGGGGGGGAGGATCGACCTGAGCCGGTCTCAGGCTGAAGGTTTGTGATGAGGTGACCTTTTGTGACCTTCGGACCAGCCAAGACAAGGCCTGGCTGGGGAATTCTGGGAGTTGAAGTCCACAAGTTCGTCAAGGTCACCATCGCTGCCCACACCCTTGTTTTAAACCCGAAAGTCCAGTTTCCCTCTTGAAAACCCTGACCCTGGATGACTTGAGAATATCCACAGGCTTTCAACTTAAAACTTGGAATAAACAGCTGGTCTCCACAGAGAGACTCTGGCTGGTTGACTTTTCCCCAGTCACAAAAAAGCTCCGAAGAGCGACCGTCGTCGCTCCGACCTTCCAAGGTAAACCAGACCAGGAAAGTCACGCAGGCCAAAAACAACTGTTTTGGGGGAAAGCTTTTTGCAAGCCCAAATGCGTTTCTCCCACCCGCCCAACCTGTATCTTCATGCGACGTAAGGGGAGGGTTACTGATCTGCTCAGGACTTGGGTATCCTTTACAGCAGCGGTCGCTTCTTTCCGTTTCTTTCTTCTCCTGCTTTTGGCTGCATGCAAGGAAAGCAGCAAAAGTCTTTCTTTCTCTCCCCCAAACTCCGCTAGAAATGAGTCTTTGGGACCCTGCAAGGCCTCCTGCTTCCAAGAGGCTGCAATGGCGTCACTAGTCTCATAAAGACTCCTTTCTGGCGGAGTTTGGGGAAAAGAAAGAAAGACTTCTGCTGCTTCTGCTGCTTTCCTTGCATGAAGCCAAAAGTCTCTCTCTCTCTCTCTCTCTCTCTCTCTCTCCCCCTGAGAACGGAGCGGGAGATGGTACCCTGCGATCCCAAATAAAGAATGATTGATTGGGAGGAAAATGGGGTGGGGAATTTTACTGCAGACTTTTTTGGGGGGATTTTCCCAGAGTCTCTGGTCTGCGGGATTTAAAATTATGAGTTTGGTGGTCCCTGAGGTCCAAAAGGTTGGCAACCCCGTTTTTGAGCAATGATGAGGAACCTTTTTGGCACCGAGTGCCCAAACTGGAATGCCATGCAAGCACATGCCATGTGGGTGTGCTGGAGCACCGGTAACCCAAAGACTAGCTGGCCAGTGCACACATGCCAGTTTCTGGGGTGGGTTTTTAAGCCGTTTTTAGGCCATTTTTCGGGCTGTTTTAGGTTGTTTTCAGGGCATTTTGAGACTGTTTTAGGTCATTTTGGGGACATTCTTTGGAGCTGTTTTAGGGTCTTCAAGCCATTTTTCAGACTGTTTGGGGGCTGTTTTAGGCCCCTTTTTTGGCTGTTTTCGGGTTGTTTTTTGCCCGAAAAGGCAGAAAAACAGCCCAGAAAACGGTCTGCTTTTTTGGCTATTTTTTGAGCCATTTTCCAATGCTCCGGCACCCACAAAGACCAGCTGGCGATGGCGCTCGTGCCCAGACAGGGCTCTACACATGCCATAGGTTCACCATCACAGTTTTAGAGATCAACTGTGATCACTGCAGTCAAGTCGCCAAGAGACCCGGCCGATAAGACAAGGACTAGCTGCGTAACCCTCCGAGATACAGAAGACCCGGTTTGGAAGGGCGTGGGTTCAAATCCAGCCCCCCCCTCCCTCAAACCTCACCTGAGTCGGTCGATTCCGAAGAGACCGAGTCCTGAGACGACCACTCCTTTCTGAAGTCTAGGTCCAGCTTCTTTTTCCTTTTGGGGGTGTCCCAGTCACTGCAATGCAAAGGGGGATTAGACCACCATTCCCCAACCTGCTAATTGGCCCAGATTCCTTTCCTTTCTTCCTTTCAAGAAACTTGCAATAAATGTTTCATTTTTCCTGAGGTCCTCTCCTGGCTCTTTCCGTTCTTCCAAGTTCGTCCTCCTCATGTCTTTCATACAAACACAGGTAGTCCCCGACTTAACAACAGTTAATTTCGTGACCATTCAAAGTTACGTCCCTGAAAAAAAGCAACTTATGGCCATTTTTCACACTTACAACGGTTGTAGCATCCCCCACGGTCACGTGATCAAAATTCAGACACTTGGCAATCGACTCATATTTATGACGGTTGCAGTGTCATAAACTGGGGTCAGGTGATTCCCTTTTAAAAGACAAATTCCTTGTGTGCCCAATCACACTTGGCCAATAAAGAATTCTATCCTATTCTATCCTATCCTATTCTATTCTATTCTATCCTATTCTATTCTGTTCTGTTCTGTTCTGTTCTGTTCCATTATTCCATTCCATTCCAATTCCAATTTATTCTATTCCATTCCATTCTGTTCTTTTTTACAAACTTTTGACAAGCCAAGTCAACGGGGAAGCCAGATTTAACAACCGGATTGCTAACTGAACAACCTGCAGTTATTCACTTTACAACTGTCTCGCTTAGCAACAGAAAATTTTGGGCTACCTGTATTATGGATTTAGCTGAATGTTTTCAACTTTTCGCGCCTAGTGTTCAAATGGTTTTTTGTTGTTGTTGCTGCTAATTCTGTCATTGTCTCGTTCTGCATTGGTGGCCTGGTCGGTTGGCCGGAACAAGACAAATTTCATAAATTCATCACGTTGAATAAATAAAATTTGCATTTCCTGAGCCGTACCCACCCAGGTTTTTTTGGTTTTTTGTTTAGTTATGGCCTCATTTAAAAAGGCTAGGCCTTGTTTATCTGAAACAAAAATGTCACCAGGGAGGGGAGAACGATTAACCACCAGCCAGGTGGGTTGGAGAACAACCCTGGCAGCTGATTTGATCACCGTCTCTGATTCAAGCCTGCCAGGAGCCATTTCCAAGGAATCACAGAGTTGGAAGGAGCCTCAGAGGTCATCTAGTCCAACCCTCTGCCCAAGCAGGACACCCTAGACCATTTCAGACCAGTGGCTGTCCAATCTCTTCTTAAAAACCCTCCAGTGATGGAGCACCCACAACTTCTAGTGGCAAGGTGTTCCACGGGTTAATTGTTCTCACGGCCAGGAAATCTCTCTTTAGTTCTAGCTTTGATCTCTCTTGATCAAATGGATGAAAAGGGATCAAGGAGAGAATCGGCCTAGAAGTAAGGATAGTAATTACAATTATTATTTAGAATTATTGTGTGTGTGTGTGTGCATGTGAGACTGTGTGAGACAATATTGTGTGTGCATGTGAGACCATAATTATTGAAAATTATTAATAAACATAATAATTTCCTAATGGTGATTTATCAGCAGAACAATTGACTGCCTCCAAAATTTGCAGGTGCTCCAATCAATACTAGAGGTTTTTTTTTTCCAGAAGAGACTGGATAGCCATTTGTCTGAAATGGTATAGGATTTCCTGCTTGGGGGTTCGACTAGAAGACCTCCAAGGTCCCCTTCTAACTCTTTTATTCAACTCTGAGGCAAAGAAGGGGGGAAAGGAGGCTAGGCTAGGGTTTGCTTAGGTTTAATCATGGCTACTTGTGCTAACCAGGCTTGGCTGGGTTCACCCAACATGCCAAGGGGCAGAAAGAAGGGACTTTGTGGGTGATTCCAATGCTTTCCAGAAAGAAAGGCTTGGCGCTTGGAGCTCCCTGGTCCGCCAAGGTGGTCCTTCCAGCCCCTTCCTTCCTATAAGGCCTCTCTTTACTCTGCCACGTGTTGCAAGCACCCTCCTCCTGCTCAACGCTCCACTCTCTCTCTTCCTCCTTGCATTATGCAGAGAATTACAATAGGAGCAGCTGCTCCTGGGAGCATTTGTGCAGAAGGCCAGGGGGAAGGAAGGAAAAAAAAAATTAAAAAAGCAAGAGTTAGAAGGAGGCCCTGCCAAAAACTGGACACTCAATGGGGAGGAAGAAAAGAGCGTCAGGGTTAAAAAACCGCCTTTAAAAAGAGCCTAACCGTTGCCTGTTGGGAAAAAGAGGGAGGAGAATTCAGACCAGCCTCTTTGGGGGGGGGGACTCCCCCAATCAAGACACACCCACCCACCCCCTCAAAAAACGTGCCAGTCCTAGCCTTTCATTAAAAACCACTTTCCTTGGAAAACAAAAATTTGCCTCTAGCCAGGACAAGAAAAGTCTGCATTTGCAAAACATATGGAATAAATTCAAAAAGCCACGCAAAGGCCAGACATTCCAACAATTCAATCTCTCTCTCTCTCTCTCTCACACACACACACACACCCCTCCTCAACTTTCTGCCAGCACAGGAATCTTATTTTGGGGAAGGGGAGGGATAGGATCAGAGGAGGGTAGGCCCTCAAACAACCCTCTGGTTTCCCCAGAGGAAGTGGCTGGGGCCCAGAGCTGCAACGGCCCGAGGCAAGCAAGCCCATTTGCCAGGCTCTCTTGGATCTCACCCTAGGCCAGCTAGACCATCCTCTTAATAGAACTGGGAGGGACCTTGGAGGTCTTCTAGTCCACCCCCCATCCCATGTGAACGAGGGTTCCCAAGCGTCCAGGGGCTGTTCAAAGCCACTTGCACACGGAAGCATTTCCTCCCTGCAGGGCCCCGGCTCCCCCTGCGTGCTTTTGGGGAGGGGAGGGACCGCTCCCACAAAAGGGGACACACGTGTAGGGAGATCTATAGACCAAGCCACCCCAAAGGGTCAGGCTGCGAGGAGGGAATTGCTGGATGGGGGAAAGGCCGGATGGCAGGAAACCCCCCCCCCCGCCCCTCCGAAGGCCAGACCAGAGGTAGCCAGGGTGAAGGGAGCCCCCCCACCCCGTACCCCAATTCAGATTATCTGAGAGGCTCGTTTCCAGCTGCAGAGAAGCTGTGGGGGGGGGGCTGGTTTTCCTTCCCATTGCAAAAGACCCCCCTCCAACCCATCTCCTGCTGCTCCGGAGATTCACTTTTGCCCTAAAATGCCCAAGGTCTGCTTAGGGAAAGGGTTTGGCCCCCAGGTTTCTCCAACCGGAGGTGGTTCCCCACCCCCCCATAGGAAAGGGACCCCCCTCCAGCCGGCCCAGTGGGGTGACGGAGCTGGTAGGGGGTGTTTTCCGCCCTCCTCGGGCCCCAGCATGGAGGGAAAGGTGCCCTTGACCTTGGCAGCACCGTTTGGGGGGTGGCCAAAATCCAAGCATTTCTCCCACCACGGCCTGCAAAGCCCCCCCCC